TTTCTGAGTGCTCAGCCCGCCTGTGGATGAAATCCTAGAAATGCTCCTGTATAGCGCTATGACCCAGCACCCAAAATACTATCAAAACACTCCAACGCAGCCTCCATTCTTCGCAAAAGATGGATAAAAAGGTGCACATGAAACAAAAACCTTGAAAAAATTATATACGACCCCACCAAATCACAGAGATGCCGATTCGCACGGGACTAATATTACCACAGGACCTCGGTGTTCGACGAAATACAGTAGGTCATTTGTGGGGGAATTTTTACTTTACAAATTACAGACATGGCCGATTCGCACGGGATTAAGATCACAGACAACCTCCGCAATTATTACAAATGACTGGAGGTCACCAGGTAATACTAATCCCGTGCGAATAGGGCTTTAGACTGATCAATGTAACTGTAACCGATGCGAATTTTATTAGTATCAGGACTCAAACCTTGAACTAAGAAGTTCATCTTAAATAATATATTCTAGCTCCGCATAATTAATGTTTAATTAAACAGTCTGAACATGATTTTCTTCCCCATTTCTCCTCATAAGTCATCTACATAGGCCTACATTTTTTAGATATGTGGGAAAATACTTTACTATAAAACATGGTACAGATGTTTTGAACTCTGTCTGGAATGTACCATACTTCAAAAAAAAAAGAAAAAGTTTTGTATGTGTGTTTTTTTTTTATTCATTTATTTGGCACATGATTAAACATTACTGTGGTATTTTAGCAATTAATATTGTTTAAATATTGTAGAAAGCCATGTCACCAAAAAGCAGCTGTCATGCTTCAAAACTCTGTATGCTTGTAAGACTAGTTCAGTCCTGAAAATGTCCACTGATGCATAAAGGTCTATGACATTAGCAATTAATTTAACAATATACACTGAAATTCTCTTGATGTCATAGACCGGTATTTTATATCATACCCTGAAGGTGTTTGCTAAAATATGATTGTGCAATGTAAGTTTTGGGAAATGCAGCACATCCTTATTTCACAGGCATTTCCTCTGTATTTCTGAAACAAAAGGTTGTACAATTGGTCTTTCACAGAGCAGATCCTGCAGCCCTTATAAACACACACACACACACACACACACACATACACACACAAATAAATAAAAGTTAAATCTTTTTCAAGTCAGGCTCTACCCACAACAGCAATTTTACCATGCAATTTTCAGAAACATTTTGTCCAGTTCTGAGAAAAAATAAATCTCTAAATGTTTACTGCATATACATTTCTAGTAATATCTCTCATATAATTATTTACAGAGCAGAACATGACTGCTACCCATTTGCTGATTTAAGCCAATATTTGTTCCTTATATGATGTATTTCTGTATGAACAGTCTCAACATTGCATATAAAACTGTAACCCTTACCAGTAAGGCAGCCTAAGTGTCTTTGCTTTTTTAGTTAGTAGTTTCATAATATTTCAGACTGTTGTGCGTGAGACATTCCCAGTAGGCTACAGCTGGGCATTTTCTCTAAAGGCAATTCACTGTGTGTGCTTTCTTCCCCAAGGTGGTAGCCATGGAAACCACTGATGTGTATTGCTGGAGAGCCTTCATAGTTCATGATCAGACTTAAGAGGATGCCGAGTTCCACTCAAACACTATCCTACTTTTGATTACTAAAAGCAAGCAACGTTTTAGCCTTAAGCTTGCATACTGCAAAGCAGCTCAGATGGAACTTCTATTTATAAATGAATAATTCAAACACTTTGCACAATTTTTGAAGCAATCATAGGATAACATAAGTCATTGCACAAAAATACAATAAAATAAATAGAAGTATAATAATTAACATAAAAAAAGAGGAACAAATGTAGCGACTTTGATTTCAGGCTGTATTTATTGTGCAACCCTTCATAGCGACCAGGGCCTTTTATTCTCTGTTTATGTTCAAGAGGATGTCACGAATAAAGTAGACGTGTCTGGACAAGAGCAAATATTTCTGCCCTTATTAGCCTTACATCAAGACAAGTAGTGGCAAAGTGTAGGCTCTCTTAGGTTTAGGATAAGTGGAATGAGGCCATAAAACTGAAATTTGCCTTATATGCCTGATATGGACCAATATGGAAAGAGTTGTACGAGTTACTTTACAATCTTACTGTGATTAAATTACTGATTACACTAAATGGAAAAAATATATAGTCATCACAGTCAACAGCATATAATCCTTGTTGGTGAATGCTTGTTCTGATCATTTCTTAATCAGAAAAGGACTGATACAAAATTAACATTAGAGAAAAAAAATTAATGTTTTTTAGAAAATATTTGAGAACTAATTATTTTTTTTAAGAATTACACATGAATATTCTTATGAAATGTTTACAGTTTATTCTTTTCATTTTCTTGAACTCCTGGTTCATCTCTGGTGTTTTATTGTGCAAACAATATAAAATTTCCTTAAAGAATATATTCAGCAGAAATAAAAAAGCAAACTTATGATGTCCTTTCACCTTTACTTTGTGACAGATATTATGGAAGGCCATTTATTCCATAAACATGGCCATTGAACAAACATGGGAAGAAAAACTTGAGACAAGAAGTGGAGTTTGGTAGAAATACACACCATGGCTGCCCATCGCATTCGATCAGCGAACAACAACACTGTGCTCCCTCGCTGCAGATCTGAGGGTGCACTTATTGATCTCAGTGAAGGAGTGCCAGAGGCCACCCTTACAGATTTTAAAGGTTTCCTTTCTTATTTTTACCTCACAATCAGCATAGTGTTAACTTATAGTATTACCCTCATTCACTTTTTTTTACAGTGCCTTCACCTAGTGCCTTACGACTGGATGCTACTGCCTCATTTGGAGCTGTCAGGGAAGTGATTGCCATTAAGGATTACTGTCCATCCAGCTTTACCACACTCAAATTCTCAAAGGGAGACTGTCTTTATGTTATAGACACATCGGGTGAAGAGTGGTGGTATGCGCACAACAGTAAAGAGATGGGATATATCCCAGCTGCTTATGTCCAGCCGATCAATTATCGAGATTCCACATTCAGTGATAGCGGCATGATTGACAGCCTAAGTGACATTTCTGAGGGGGTGAGAGAAATGGATATCTCGGGGGAGTGGACAGGGTCCACCAAAATCACAGAATCTAATAATGACCATCCTTTTATTAATAAACGGACGTCAACTAACCCTTTCCTAAATGGCACGCTGCAAGGTGCCCCTGACCAAAACAGCAACCAGAATTCAGCAAATGCTTTGTGTTTAGATAATCTCTCACCTCCCATCTCAAACACCAGCAGCACCATTAATATTAATGGCTTTGAAAGTGGGCTACTTGACACACACAATATTAGCCCTGGTTCAGGGATTGGCCTACATTTTCGCAGAGACAATCCGTTTTTTAGGAGTAAGCGTTGCTACAGCATGTCAGAACTGTCTGTCCTACAGTCCCTGTCTGATGGGAATCAAGGTTCCTTGAGTTTTTTTGGTGGCTTGAAGTCACCTAAACCTGAGCATTTTCAAAGTAGAGAGGATTTCAAAACGGCATGGCTAAATCACCGTAAACTTACACGATCCTGCCATGACCTGGACTCCATTGGACAAAACCCAGGTTGGGGGCAAACCCAACCAATAGAGACCAATATTGTGTGCAAACTGGACAGTTCTGGTGGTGCCGTGCAGCTACCAAATACCAGTATCAGTATATATATTCCTGAGGGTCACGTTGCACCGGGTGAGACTCAGCAGATATCGCTGAGGGCCCTTCTGGATCCACCGTTGGAGCTTAACAATGATAGATGTACTACCGTAAGTCCAGTGGTAGAAGTAAAACTCAGTAACATGGAAACCAAGACCCCGGTCACTTTAGAGATGAAGGTGTCTGTTGTAGTAAAGATAGAGAGCCGCAAAACCGCAGAGGTGGTGTGTGTGAGAAGCAACTTCAAGGAAGGTCCGTATGTCCCGATTCCACATGTATACATGTATGGAGACACAGTTCAAGTAACTCTGGACAATTTAGAGCCTTGCATGTATGTCTCTGTAGTTGCCCAAGCACAAACGTTGGCCCCATACAACACAGTCTGGGAACATGTCGTAAAAAAGGTCACTCTTGGGGTATATGGGCCAAAACACATCCACCCATCCTTCAACACAGTAGTGGCCATTTTTGGCCATGACTGCGCCCCAAAGACGTTGCTAGTGAGCGATGTAAAAAAGCACTTACAGTCAACTCCACCTGTCGTCCTCCAGCTCTGGGGAAAGCACCAGTTTGTACTAACAAAACCTCAAGACCTTCAGGTTGGCATGTATTCAAACATGTCCAATTTTGATGTGAGAGCCAATGAACAGGCAAGAACTGTGAGGGGATTTCAGATCAAACTTGGCAAAGTGGCCCGCCTCATCTACATGATCGCAGCACGCGATTCAACTGACATTTCAGACTTTACTTTGCGTATTCAGGTCAAGGATGATAAGGACTGTATCTTGGCCCAGTTTTGCGTTCAGACCCCAACCCCACCACTAAAAACAAGCACAAAAAGCTCCGTTCAAAGGCGCTTCCTCAAGAAAAAGGAAGTAAACAAAATCATACTGTCTCCTCTTGCAGCGACCACAAAGTACCCTGTGTTTCAGGACAGACTAGTCAAAAACCTAAAATTTGCTAAGCTTCTGAAAACTGTTGTAAGACAGACCAAAAGCCTGTATTTGCTAGAGTATCTTAAAAGCGACGTAATGGCTCTTTTGAGTGAGGAAAAAATAAAACTTAAAGGACATCTATGGACCAAAGAGTGGTACATCGGATACTACCATGGAAGAATTGGGTTGGTGCATGCAAAAAACATTCTAATCATGGGAAAAGTGAAACCTGTTCATTTCAAAGGGCCTGATCTTACAACTACAATCCTTTTAGAGCAGATCCTAAAGCCCTGCTTGTGCCTGACGTACATCTACGCATCAGTGAGGACAATACTGATGGAAAACGTGGCGAGTTGGAGAGTGTTTGCTGACGCTTTGGGTTACGTCAATCTGCCTCTGACACATTTCTGTCGGACAGAGCCAGAAAGTGAGCCTGAAAAGGTGGCTTCTGTTCTTGAGAAGCTTAAGGAAGACTGCAATGCAGCTGAGGGCAAGGAGAGGAAGTCTTTCCAGAAGGAACTCATGAAGGTAAGCTTTGACATGGAAGTAGATCTTTCAGCTAAACTTAGTTGTGTACTTTATAGAAAAGGTATAAAAATGTCTGATTAATTTATTGGAGGTTTTCTTAAAACTGACAAGCCGATGTCATGTAATGGCGGATAACTGATAAATGGCCAATATTAAAATTTGATAAAAGTTTACAAAATAACTTTTTTTTAATGTTTGGTCATACGCATTCATTCCTTCATTATTTATAAGGCTTGTAACTGCAAAGAGAGATGAGAGAAGAATGGCGTTTTTGAAAGTTAACTAGTTGAAAGTCTGAAAGTCAACAACAGAAATATATCCTATACTGTACCTATAAAATACAAAAAATGTCATTACTGAAATTTTTTTTTTTTTATTAAAAAAAAAAAACTTGATAAAGCTGCATGCAATTTCCAGATAGAAAATTTGTATGAATTAACAAATTAAAGGTATCAAAAAATGTAATTAAAATGTGTTTGTGTGAAAGACCTTGCTTGAAGTTTGACCTTGCTGGTGTGATTGGAGGATTTACTCCGAACCTTTCAGTTTTGCAAATGAACAAATTTGTATGAATTAAACTATGAATAATATATAATTTATACCATATCTAGTTCATACCAGAGCTTGCTAAATAAATCTTTCATAACATTACTCACACACACCTGAGACTCAAAGCAAAGACCAAGTGCTAAACATTTTAAAGTGCCACCTTATTTGCAGAACAACACCAGCTACCCACTGAATTATGCTGTCCTGAAACAAAACAACAATATAATGATCAATATAGTGACCATTCCTAAATAAACTGACTGAAAAACATTCAATCTCTCAAACAAAACCTTATCTCTCTCACTTGGTCTATATTACGACGGTGGATAATGTGCTAAGATGCAGGTTTGTCTGGTTGTCACCTGCATCAACCACTCTGTACCACTGTGTAAATAAAGCCTGATGTTAAAGGGGTCATATGATGTTGCTAAAAAGAACATTATGTTGTGTATTTGGTGTAATGCAATGTGTTTATGCAGTTTAAGGTTAAAAAAACACATTATTTTCCACATAATGTACATTATTGTTGCTCCTCTATGCCCCGCCTTTCTGAAACACGTCGATTTTTACAAAGCTCATTGGTCTGAAAAGTGAGGTGTACGCTGATTGGCCAGCTATCCAGTGCGCTGTGATTGGCTGAATACCTCAAGCGTGTGACGGAAATGTTACACCCCTTACCATACTGTGATGCCGTGTCCCGGCACGACGAGACAAAACAAAACCAATAAAACCCATTACAAACGAGGCATTTGTTGCATCCAGTGTGGACATAATTACTGATTATAATGACTTATACTGTCTTTTTACACATTGCGTTGCGTATCGCGCCGCGTAAACATAAAACCATGTCTGCATTTGTGATCGGAGAAACGACAAACAACAAGCGCTACACAACAGTGCTCAAAACACGCGTTTGAATCGTCAGTGGCAAATTCTTTAAATATAAAAAACGTACTTACAGGCTGTGAGTCAGAAGCGCCAGACTGTCCTTGCAAAGTTGGAACTGCCCCACTTTATAGAAACAGCCTTTGTGCACAGATGCATTGTAGTCTACTCTACCAGGATCAGGAAACTGTCCTCCATAAAATGCGCTGCACACATCTGAATATTTGGGTTGAACTGTTCTGGAACAGTGTTGTAAATACAACTTAACCACTGATTTCTAGTTGTGTCCTCTTTTGGAAGGCCAAACAAAGTAGTTTCGCTTTCACAACGAAACACACAGCGTTACACACGGCGGGCTTGAGTGAGCGGAGGCCGGCGGGCTTGAGTGGCGAACGGCGTGGCCGGTGTATTCGACGAAGGAGCGTCTGGTGGGCTTGCGGCAACCACATGTGATGACCCCGGGCTGGAATCCGCTTCGTCCACGGTGAAAGCCGATCCGGCGATCCACAGCGCAAAGTTTATGTATTTCCTCAGCGACCAGCACGGATCAGCTCCAGGCATGACGAAGCGGATATCGTCCTCTTTTGGAAGGCCAAACAAAGTAGTTTCGCTTTCACAACAAAACACACAGCGTCTCCACGACATGGCGGTGCCGGCAACAACAATACTACAGCGAGAATAAAAGTTATGCCTTCTTTCTTTGCGTGAACATTTGGGCGGTGTTATGCAAATCTTCCCACATCGTGACGTAGACATGTGGGGGCGTGTTAGAATGAGGCATTTTAGGGGGGCGTGGACAAGTCTTAACTTTTATAAAGAATATCTCTTTGGGTTTGAGACTTTAGTCTTTGCAGCTTTGGGGATCTTATCTATGCACGAACAGCTTGTAACACTCCAAAGAGAAAGGAAAATTTGAAATTGCATCATATGACCCCTTTAAAACTTTGTCAACAGGAACCTGAAGCAGGATGTTTCCCAAGGAAATATCAAGTTGCATTTTAGCTACTTACAGTATTTTACAAACACTTAAATAAAAATATAAATCTGCTCTATGATGCATCAGTCATTCTGCAACAATAACCTAAAAGAAACCTCTCTATATAAGAGAGAGCTCACACTGAAGATTATCTAAATAAAAATCACATATTTAAATCGTATGTATTTATACCAGGGCTGTCAATAGATTATAAAAATCATACATGCAGCAACACAGATCGTGAAGCATGCGCAGACATGCAAAAGTTTAGGTAATACAGGCACTGGACTAAAACATGGACTACTCCTTTGACATAATGTGTTTAAGAGCATTATATCACTGAAGTGAAGCAGGCTAAATGAATGTCAGGTACACACGTTCTTTATGAACTAAAATTAGGAAGGGTCATCTGTGACCATCTCAAAAGTGTCAACAGACCCGAGAGTGAAAATGCCGAAAGAAGTGATCGTGTTGAAGGAGAATCTAAGTTGTGCAGATGTTTCCTTTTTAATTGTTAGCATTGACAGAAGCATCAAATATGGAACAAGAGACGCCCTAAACTACACAAACCCACCACACCTACAAATCCATTGCCAGGAGATTGCTAACAGACATGCATCTGCAATTCTCTGCACATCTGAATAAAGCACTTGCATTTTCTGCATAGAGAATAATTTGCATTTTAGAGCAATGGGTTCCCTATGGAATTTCTAAGGAGTTTTTGATTTATTAATAAAATGAGGTCTGTGGTTAACATTACATGAAGAGACCTTCCTGTTTTGTTCTACAAAATAAATTACACACAGTCAAATGTGAATTTTGAAACCCATTAGTAATTCCCAAAAGAATCCATGGTGAATTAGTCTTTCGGGCTGGCCTACAAATTGACATGATGACTGAACAGCATTAGAAAACTTTGTAATTCCATTTTTAATCAGTAAAAGTTCCAGTTGTAATGCTGTCATTTTAAGGTTTCTTTTTTTTCTTCTTCTTTTTTTTTTGAGTTTTTGATTCCTTAGTATCCTCCCATTTCCCTTAGCCTATTGTTAGAGCAGAAGAGCAGCCCTGTATAAACTGTCAGTGATTACTGGCAATAGTTTATAAACAGAAGACAAAATGGTCAGCTTATATAAAAGGAAATCACAAGGGGCAGGCGAGAGGGAAGATAATGAAGTATAAGTACTATCATAAAATCGGATGTTAAAGAAGAGGAATTCAAGAGAAAAACATGTAAAGAATAAGTAATTTTGTGCTCAACTGTCCTAATAATGTAAGCTGCATCTTGCTGTGATTATGTCTAGTGAGCTCAACAGTGATAAATCAAAGCTAAGCAAATGTACGTGTACCAGTGACTAATTCACAAGTTATATTTTATGAATTTAAAGATTTAAAAACTAATTTTTTTTATTAAAAAATCTCAGATAAACTGATTTGCTCACACAGGCTTTGTGTGTAATAAATTACAGCTTAAATTATGTAGTAGGTGAACATGGTAGATCATGACGCTAACAATACTGGCCAATTAGAGTTCAAGGGAGCATACTGTACATTATACTGATTAAAAATTTGTAGCCTGAATTCACTGCAAGTTGCTTCGGATAAAGGTGTCTACCAAGTGCATAAATGTAAATTTGTAATATAAAGCTAACTAAATGCCTTTTAATGTGTGGTTACAGAATAGTATAACTGAGGTATTCACAGACTTTTTATAGGTCAAATTAATGATTAACTTTAGAACTTTAAATTTGCTAATAAACTTTTCTTTACCAAAATTAGCTAGGTTCACTAGGTACATTATGCAAAACAAATGAGTCATTAGTCACAAAGAATCTGCACACCAAAAAAATAAACAAATCATGGCGACAACAGCCTTGAAGTGCTGAGGAAAGTTCAATGAACTCAAACATTTGCTTTTTTTTGTGCATCTGCACATTTTCCTTTTTGCATGCGCACTTGTTGATTTTGCCAAAAACATTTTAGTAAAAAATTGTAATAATGGTAATGGACCTCAATTAAAAAGCCTCTTCTCTGATATTAATTATTTGTTTTACTGCAATTTTTAGATTTGATTTGCAGATGTCTTGTTACTGATGCAGCATATTAATAGAAATTTAGTGAGGTGTCTAAAGGAACAATTAAGAGAACAAAACAATGAAACCAGCTTTGGTATATTTGTGGACAAAATAGTGAAATGATCAAAACATCATTCAAATAATAATTTGCCTTATTAGATTTTAAAATGATAACAGAAACACTACTGCTAATTTCATTAAAAGATTCATTAAAAGATGAACTTGAAGCTTCTACAGTAGTTCTGCTTGCCACACTAGACTTCATTTGAGGCATTAACAGTTGGTTCAGGATTCTGTGATAGTCAAAAGTCTGAGCAGACAGGGTTTAGGTTTTGTTTGGCTTTCTGTTAATTCTATGTCTCTGAAGGGTTTACTTAATAAGTTCCTGACTGTGACAGGGGTCAGGGGTGAGACACCTCAGGAACAGGTGCACATGAAAGGCCTTATCTTTCTTTGGCTAATGCACACAATCAATGTGTACACAGTGTGATACATTCACACACAATATGATTCTTTTT